CCAACTTAATTCAAAATACTTGAGAATCAACAATTAGTTCCTCTCTTTCCACCATTGGTATTTTTGTTTTTTTTTGTAATGAATGTTAATTTATTCATACCAAAACCTATTTTTTTTTTTTTGGTTTTTAAAATTTGTTTTCTTATAATGAATGCCACTTTATGAGTCTAATAATAGTAGAAGAAAAAAAAATAGAGAAAAAAAGAGATTTGTTTGAGATTATTTTTCCAATAGCCTCCTATGGTCGAGTCATTTATGATGTCGCTTGTGCATCAAACCACATACTCAATCCTTCATCAATACGTGTTGTCTCCCAACGATCGAATCGAATTAAGCCATGTTTCGAACATTCTTGTCTATAAGTTTAATCATGCGGCTTTGAAGTAAGAGAATTCATGTCTTCCAAAAACCTTAATAGTAGGCTTGAAGTTACTTCTTCTTATCTCCCATCTCAATCTCACTTGTGAAGTTCCTTAGTCTTGGCCTAGAGAAACATTACCTTTAGATTGAAGAGAAGACTAATTAAGTCCTGACTCCAAACCATCTCACTTGGAGGCATGGAGAAGCTAATCTTTCCGGAAAATATTTCGAAATTCCACTAGTATTTTCAAAATCAAATAAAAAGTTGGAAGACTAACCGATGGGAGAGCCACACAATTTTGGTTCTATTTTCCCAACGCATATATGTGCATTCATTCATTGGGAAAAGATGATAAATAGTTATTTCTTTGGACTCGACCAAAAAAAAAAGTTATTTCTTTGGACTTTTTTTAATCAATGTTTTGATTTCCAACAAACAAATAATTGAGTTTCTCAAAATGAATCTATAAATAAAACACTAAACCTAATCCAAATCGTCACTTTGATTAGCTTCCATTTAACTTTGATATAGTTAATAGTGAGAGCAACTATGTTTTTATGAAGACAAATCTCGACACTCATTTCACAGTAATTGTTCATAACGATGAAACCATATCCAGCTTCAAAGGTTAGCAAAAATCCACTACCAATAGTCGTTTACTTCATCTCTGTTACGACCGTGTCCCGGAGATTTTTAAATTTTTGTGCGGAAATGTTTTGGACCGTAAATGAAAAATGGATCATAGTCTAAAACCCATTTAAAAGGACTTGAATGGATTTGGTTCAATAAACCAAATTATTCTATAAGCCCATAAGCCCAGTCTTGATGTTTGATTATGATTAAAGCCCTAAAGCTAATTAACCCTAGGCTAATGAGCTTAGCAGCCGACGACAATTGAGATTAAGTGAATGAGAGTTGTCGTGGGAATAAGAGAAAGCTAGAGGAAGAGATTGTCGTGGAACCATGATGGAGCCGCTACGGTGGAGATGATGGTGGCGTGTAACCACGGTGAGGCTGTGGTGGTGGCGCGATTTCGGAGAAGGTCAGAGACGCAACGACAGAGGAGGAACTGATCGAAGGAGAAAGAGGAGAAGAGGACGAGGAGAAAACGGATCCGACATGGGGTTTTGGGAAGCCTCTTTTGGTCTGGTCCAAAAGCGTTAATCAACATTCTTAACATCTCTGAAAAGATCTCGTTCTCTACTTTCTGGATCACTTTTTCGATCTTGAATCCGAGGTATATTCTGTCCGGAAATTGATCTCAAAGTTGAGTAAATATCACTGTTTCAGAACCTAGAATTAATCCAAGTAATATTGGATCTATTCCAGTTTCATGTTGCAGTTTTTGGAGGATGATTTAGGTCACATTAGAGAATGTATCGTCATGGTAATTGTTGTATCAGACAGAGGACATGTCAGAAAAGCCATGTAGGCTTTGGTAATCTTCAGTGGAGTTATTCTATGGCCGCGGTAACGTTTGTTTGCTGCGCAAGAATCAGCAGGAACTGAAACTGCCAGTTTCAGTTTCAGAAACAGCTCTGACGCAGCTGCTTTGAGGGTCTATTTGGAGGTTCATATCAAGTCTGATCGTGCTGTAATTTTGTGGAGTTGTTCATGGCAGTACCGACTTTCAAATCAACGGTTGGATCGACAAGTGGACGGTTAGTTTGTATGTTCTTTGGACTTTGTTTTAATCAATATTTTGATTTCCAATAAACAAACGATTGGGTTTCTCAAAATGAATCTAAAATTAAAACCCTAAAATCGTCACTCTGATTAGCTTCCATTCAACTTTGGTATGGCTAATAGCGAGAGCAACTATGTTTTTGTGAAGACAAATCTCGACACTCATTTCACAGTACTTGTTCATAACGATGAAACCATATCCAGCTTCAGAGGTTAGCAAAAATCCACTAATGACTATTTTTGCTAACTTTTGAAGCTGGATATGGTTTCATCGTTATGAACAAGTACTGTGAAATGAGTGTCGAGATTTGTCTTCACAAAAACATAGTTGCTCTCGCTATTAGCCATACCAAAGTTGAATGGAAGCTAATCAAAGTGACGATTTTAGGGTTTTAATTTTAGATTCATTTTGAGAAACCCAATCGTTTGTTTATTAGAAATCAAAGTATTGATTAAAAAAAATCGAAAGAATTAACTTTTTTTTTTTTTGATCGAGTCCAAATAAATAACTATTTATCATCTTTTTCCAATGAATGAATCAATTGAAGCTCATATATGTGTTGGGAAAATAGAACCAAAATTGTGTGGCTCTCCCATCGGTTAGTCCCTTGCATTCACTATCTCGATATCTCTCCCTTTGCTCGATTCTTCAAACTTGTTTACAAATTTAAGCTACGACGAACAACAAATAATAGAAAAGATACACACTTAAAATAACGTAAGTTATAAGATACACGCAAACCCAAAAGCAAATAATATTGGTTTCCAATGATGAAGATCAACCATACATTTCAAGGCTTCTATCAAACTTTCCCTTCAATTCTTGCGTGAGTGAGTCCGACGCAAGCATCGACGAAATCTCCTTCGATGAGATCCGTCGATAGAATCTGCAACTTATCTCCACATCCCTTGGAAACACACTGAGATATAAAAAGCCTCGCGTGTTTTCGGATCCGATCAGTCACCGGTTTAACCCACACAACAGGATTATCAGCTTGCGGCGTAACGGTATTCTCAACCCGGTAAAAGAATTTTCTAGAAGATATCGGTTGCTGCTCGCTCAAATGCTTCAAATTGCTTTGAAATTTCGTCCATGGAAGATCCGTATCGATCCAATTATCTTTTAGATAATCCGAGTTCCATAAAAGTCCACCGCGTTCCGGCTTCGGCGACTCTCTAGGCTTCCAGATGCAGATAACTCTCTTCGGTAAGATCTCGGATACCGCCTTGTCGAACAAGTTATCGTCTTGATGTATCAAGAACTGACCTAACTTGTCAACCAAGTAAGTCTCGAACTCAGGAGGGTCTTTGTGTCCGTACTCGGTCCTTATCTCCAAGATCAAAATCTCCGAGTGAGTCTCCGACAAGAACCTGATGACGTCATCGACCACGACGTCGACGTCGTATGACGTCAGAATCCCGTGGCAGATTTGCCGGTCTTCCTGCACGCGGATATCGAGGACACGTGTCCCGAGGACGAGCTGGTCGTAGATGGAGAGGGTTTGGCATTCAGCCAGAGGACGAGAGATCAAAGGTATTCCGATTTCGTTGGTAGCTGAATCGTGAGTTCCTGGCCACACGATCTTGTTGAGAGTTAGTTTCTCAACCGTTAGATCAGCCATCCAGTTTTTTCGATCGGACGGACGGTAGTCGTCGCCGGGGAAATGTGAACCCTCGGATTGTTCGAGATCGGTTAGGGTTTTTTCTTCATGAGAGACAGATTTTTGCCGGTCGATCTGGTTAGAGAAAAAAGAGAGCATGTTTTGAGAGATTGATGAAGATAAG